CACTTGTAGTCCTGCTCGTCGAGGCCGTGCTCCTGGGCGAGACGACTGAGCTGCTCAAAGAAGCGCTGGTTATCGGCGTCGCTATTGTTCAACACGACGCTCTTCGGAATGATCTCAAAGTCGTTGTCGGAGGAGAAGGAGGAGGCGGAGACGTTGGGGCCGTGGTCGCCGCTGCTGCCAAAAAGGAGGAGGTTCGTCGCATTGGCCAGTGGATTGGGGATGGAGGAAGAGGAAGATGGGTTTCCTGAGGTGATGGACAGGCGAACGTCGTTGATGTCGGGAGTGCTGGAGAGGACGGCGGCATTGGCGGCGTTTCGAGAGGAGTAGCTCTCGAGGATGGCGTCGTAGCTTTCGTCGTGCACCGCCGGTCCGGTGCTGCTCCAGCCCGAGTTGGCCGACAGCGAGTTTCCAGTGCAGTTTGAGGAGGTGTTGTTCTCCTTTCCGCTGTCATTGAACTCCTGAAGGTAGGAGGAGGAGGAGTCATCGAGGTCGAGGTGAAATGAGCTGCTGCCGCCGCTCCTCTCCGCCACTGGAAGCTCTCCTGAAGTGTTTACGCCATCTTCAGTGGTGATTTCTTCCACCTTTAAAATGATATCCACGTTGTTTTCCGCCTCTTCTTCTTCTTCTTCCTCCTCCTCATCTTTTTCTATCTCCAAAAGGTCCGAACTGGACTCGTGCACAGTTGGAGACCTTGATTTGTCTTCTCTCTTTAAATGGAGAGAAAAATTCGTCAACTTAGCAGTGCACAATAAAGATCACTTACCAGCATCTTATCTTCGCTGATCAGATGAATCGCATCCAGCGCCGTCACCACCAGCGAGTCGTCGGCGTCGGCACTCACATTGACGCCCAGATAGTGCAGCGTATTGTCGCTCCAATAGTTCAGATCGACATTGTCAGTGGTCAGGTGAAAGAGGTAGCACTCCAGGTCGATGATCTGCTGGCGCATCAACTCAGTGTGCTGCGTGTCGCGAATGTATGCCGTTGAGCGGTAGTAGCCATTGAGAAGGGAGGAATCACAGATCAGTGTATCAAAGTAACTGCGGAAGATGGACTCGTTGAGGGCGGTGCGCAGCCAGGCTCTGCAGCAGCCGATCTCCGTGGAGATGTTGCTCAGCTGCTTCAGGTGACGCGTCTCCGAGTCGTGGGAGAGAATCTTGATGATGGGCCAGTAGTCAAGCGAGAAGGCGTTCTTGTTGGGGTGCCCTCTCTGTGAACCGCCGCCGCCGCCCCCAAAGACGGCGGTCACCCGCGTCGACAGCTTCTCCTTCAGCCCGTGCAGGAAGATGGCCTCGAGGATGTCGCACAGCAGCGAAACGGTGGGCGTTTCAATGAGGATGCGGTTGCTTTGATGGTGGTGCTCATTGTTGTCTGCTCGAAGCGGATTCTCCGCCATCAACTGCTTCACCACGCGGTCCAGCTCAATGGTCAGATTGCTCTTGATGTAGACGTCACGGGCAAAGTTCTCCACGCTGGACGAAAGACCCGAGGCGAAGCGGAGAATCGAGTCCATACTGATGAAATTAAGTTAAGTTAGTATACGCTACAATGCTACAAAAAAGAAACAAAAAAGGCAAAACAAAAGGAGAAATGAGAGATCTGCACTCTCCAGCACTACAGTTTCGCTTTCTACTCCGTTTCTGTTTCAGTCTGTCTGTGTGTTTGTTTACAGTCGTCAGTGTCAGACAGTGCTGCTGCTGCTGCACAGCGCAAATGCACTGGCGGCAGTGCAATCAGTGCTGCTGCTGCTGCTGCTGTTGCCGACCACCACCACCGCCCACTTATGACTTGTTGGCCAACAATAGCTGTTTCTGTTGTCCATTTCCACTACCGTTCATTAGCTCCTGATGACCTCTAAAACCACTAGGACCTGATGTTGGCTGATATCAGATTGGGCTGATCCGCTGCACCGCCTGCCGATGTCCTCAATGAGGACTCCTCATATCGTAGAGCAGTTTCTTGTTAAATTCAGTGCAAGAGCTTTTTCAAGTGAAATGATATGAGTAGTCATGGAGATTGAAAGTTGAACTTAGAGCCACGTCATCATCGTCATCAAGTGAATCATCAATCTCCGGTTCCACAGTGACNTTCTTGTTGAATTCAGTGCAAGAGCTTTTTCAAGTGAAATTATATAAGTAGTCTTGGAGATTGAAAGTTGAACTTAGAGAGCCACGTCATCATCGTCATCAAGTGAATCATCAATCTCCGGTTCCACAGTGACCACTTTCTTCTTGTTCAGCTGACTGCTGTGACCACTATACTTTTTTTGTTATTCGTTTTTAGAGACCCAAAACTGGCTGCTGAAATGTCTAAAGACAAAAACTTAAGATTGTTAGGGCTAAAAATTTAATTTTTTTTAATTTTTATCTCAATAGAAGAAATTCATACTGGTAGGCACTGAGCAGATCATTCATTGCTGCAATTCAAAGCAGGAGAATTCGCTTTCTTTCTTCCTCTCAGTTTAGAGTGAGGTCTCTGATCGCCTTTGCTCATCTATTTCTCTNCTATTCGCTTTTAGAGACCCAAAACTGGCTGCTGAAATGTTTAAAGACAAAAACTTAAGATTGTTAATTTTTGTTTTTTAATTTTTATCTTAATAGAAGGAATTCATACTGGTCGGCACTGAGCAGATCATTCATTGCTGCAATTCAAAGCAGGAGAATTCGCTTTCTTTCTTTCTCTCAGTTTAGAGTGAGGTCTCTGATCGCCTTTGCTCATCTATTTCTCTTTTTTTCTTTTCCCTCTTTGTCATTCTTGTGCATGCTGTCACTGACACACACACTCGATCTAATGGACTCAACGGCTACTTTTGTCGAGAGGTGAATTAGCTGCTGCTGCTGCAACTTTCTGTGCTGCAGTGTCACCGTGAATAAAGTGTGTCAGTGATGGGGGAAATAAGGAGAAAAGAAGTTTTGGACAAAGGAAAAAAGTGCGCTAAGAAGCTGCAGATGATGATGATGATGGTGGTGGTGATGCAAGAAAATCTGGTTCATTTTTATAAAGGAGCAGCAGTAAAAAGGGGCATCAGTGTTCAGTAGCAGAATCGAAAGTTGACTACGCCAGATCAATAATCGATATTCAATTGGATCTCTCTTTACCTCGACCTGGTGTGGTCCTGGCGCACAGTCAGACAGAGTGCGTCACGGCTGCACAGAGAGAGAGAGAGAGAGAGAGAGAGAGAGAGAGAG